AATCACACTCGGGCTCGGTGTGAGTACACCCCCAGAAGAAGAGTGACAATAATATTTATGGTAGCTGCATTGCTGACATTGCTGATGTGTATATCCAATAGATGACGTATAATGGGATTAATGCTCTTTACAGCACACGTTTAAACAGTTTGTTACCAAGTCCAGGCAGTGTGAAAGAACAAGAATTCATTAATTATTGGGGGGAGTGAATTACCAGTGCTCTCTCCACCCTCAATACCATGACTGAGCTTAGACCCTTGAGCAAGGCACCGAACTGCTCCCCGGCCTCCGCAGCATTGGCTGCCCACTACTCCAGGTGTGTGTTCACGGTGTGTGTGCGTGTTTGTTCACTACTCACTGCTCTGTGTGTGCACTTGGATGGGGTAAATGCAGAGCACAAATTCCAAGTATGGGACGTCACGTCCTTTCCTTTCCTTTCCTTTGTTGAGTGCTGAAATATGCAGCTTTTAGCTTTCAGCCCATTTCTTCAAGGCTGAGGGTCATTACATAGGTACTCTGCCATTCTTTTCCTTTATTGAGGTTGAATCTGAAAGGCAGTGGTTATTTTGCCATCCGACAGGAGCGTAGCGTGCCAACCCATTAGAAACGACAGCTTATATTTCACGTGGATGAGGCATCTGATACATTTTCATATTCAGAATGCTCTTACAGTGGAAGAATGCTTAGAGAAAGAAGGAAGGGAGAATAACACAGGATGACATGGAATAAGTGGTGGTGGGTAAAGATGTGTGAGGGGTTGCATATGAAATGCCAATCTGCCCCTCTCCTCCTCAGGTATTGTGAATTGAAAACAAATGTAATCTATTTGGTTTGTTTTCCCATTTGGCTCTGAATTTGAAATGATAAACAGTAGCTGTTTGTAATCTGGGACTGAGGTGCTGGGGGAGGCAGACAGGAGCTCTATCAGCATTTTGCAGCCGGTAGAGAGAGAGAGAAAGGGATGAAGGAGAGAAAGAGAGAGGAGGAGAAGTTTGGAGGATAGAAATGTAAGTGAAGAAAAAAGATTGAGAGAGTTTAATGAGGGTGGTTACAGCCGGCGGGGCGCTACAAGCACTCAACCCACCTCTGAGCCAGCCGTTACTCAAAATAAATCTATATGCGGTATCAAATACATAATGATCAGCATATCATTAGTATCAGCATGAGTCCTCAGCTGTCACATATGCTTCTCTGAGTGATAAGCTGCAATTTGTGTTTGTATAAACTAGAATAATGCAGGGCTCGGGTGTTTCTTTTAAGCTTTTAAGAAAAAACTTACTAACTTTTACTTTTTTAAGAAAACAAAATACTTATCCAAAAATCAATATTTATAAATAGTGGCTGTTATTCATTCAATTAAAATTTGATTTTTAAAAAATTAAAATATTGCAGTGTTTATTATAAATGAGTTATGATTTATTTATTTTTTTTAATTGATGTGCCTTCGGAATCTTAAAAAAAGCCAAAAAAATTATAATAAAAAAAAAATCTAGTCTATGACTTTATCAACTTCTGTTTCATGCAAACTTAAATCTTAATATTATTTTTATCAGTCATAGCATTATTATATACAATTTTAGAGTAATAATTTATTTCCATCCTAATTTCTTCCACTTTCACCATTAAATGGACCTGATTAAGATGAATAGAATCAGATCCACCTTACACTTTATCATTGTCATGACAGTCAGCATGTGTCTTGTCTTCTGTCTGCTATGTGTGCAAGACAATTGGCAATCAGCACATATGCCACCTCTGTGCCTCATTTAAATAGTCTGACAGCAGCTCACCTTTTCTGTGCTGCTTTTGCCGATTTAGTTGTTCAACTGCGTAGCCTCGTGTGACATTTCAGTTGTCCCAATTATCCTTACGCATACATTAATGGTTTTATACCTCATCCTGAAGCACAACATGGTTTGAATAGCTTGAGCAGTGTTCAGTGAAACTTTTGTGCATGAAACTAAAATAAGCCTGTTTTTGGATTCTCAAATATGGAGAATTGTTTGTGTGAATTTGTTGCTTTCTGTAGAAGTGTGCAGTTTGAATTCAGGCTAAATTCAGTTTTTTCTGGATTCTATGGGTGAACAAATGGTGCCATCTAGTGGTAAAATAGCCCATGTTCACATCCTGGCTGTATTACAATGTGCAAAGAGAATAGGAGCTGTTCTTTTTTGCTTAAAGTCTTTGCAGGTCATGCATTTTTCGTTCATAGCTGCACTAATTTATTAACAATAGGCAGCATTATGTATCTAATGGGTGCTGATAAACAGGTGAGCTCTATTTCCATAGCATCAGACTGATCATACGATCAGAATATCTGATGAACTTGTTCTGATGTATCCAATTTATAGACTAAAGGTGAATGTATTAGGCAGCATTGTATTAATAGCCACCAAAACCACACATTTAGAGAGTGTAAGTGGATATTTCCTCCAAGAGGATGTAGTCTATTGATATCCTATTGATATCCTATCTATTGAAATATGTATTTTGTTGCAGAGTTTTAGGCAGGATGTAAGTTGTTATACATTGTCAAAGATGTGGCCTTTTATAATTTTGCTGTACGTAAAAACATCTCCAACAAATCATGGATGAATGGATGGATAGCAAGGTCTAGCAATTTCTAAGTAAATTAAGTAAATCCTACACCAAATATTTTTCAGTACGTATGCCATAGTTGTCCTGAAAAAAACCCCTGAAAAATCCTTATCATTGATCTTACTGATGAGTGGTAGCCAGAGGCCTTGCCAGTCTGACTCATGAATATTAATTAGGTTGTTTATCATTGGCCAAGCAGTCGTAACTGATTTGCTGAAAAACAGGATTACTGACACAATCAGGATTACCATTTACTGATTACATTGGTTGGTTTGATCAACTGCTGATGCAACCGGTTGGCAGAGCCTTCTGTTTGGTTCTAGTGCCATTGTTTTGTGTGTTCTGCTACAGTTTTATTCTTCGCGTTGTAGCCAATCCCCCCCAAAAAAGCTCTTAAAATATAATGATTATGCCCACAAAGTGTTTTCACATTTCATGGGATGCAGCTTGGCTTAGTTTCTGTTTATGGCCTGAAGAGCATCATCACTCCGAGGCGAGCCAAACAGACGCACTGGGAGAGAGATGAAGTGATGGAGAGAGAGAGGAAGGGCCTGCCTCCTCCTCACAACTAGGTCAGAGAGAAGACAGCACTAACGGATTAGCCTTCTGTTCTAAAATAGCTCCATCTCGGGTCTCGTCTCTTTGCATTATCATCTGTAAACTCAGGAGATTGTGTATCACCACATTTCAAGTGTATCTGACAGAAGTGTCACAGCTCAAGATATCTCTTGGTTTGATTGGTCACACTTGACAGGATGATGCCCCGACTGTCAAGATCCTATGACTAACTGAAAGGGCCCAACCTAAGTGGATCAGACTTTTTGGGATCATTTTAACACAATCTGTAATGCATTTCAACACAGCTTCTGATTCACAATCTGATTTAAACTCATAAAGTAATATTTTTGGCATTTGTTTGGCATTATAATTCATTTTACAGTCATGTTATACTGACATTTAAAACTCTTAATTTTGTTTATTTTAAATTATACTGTATATACACAGCATGAAGTGACTGTGTGTGTGTGTGTATGAGAGAGAGAGAGAGAGAGAGTGTGTGTGTGTGTGTGTGTGTGTGAGGCTGTGCGTCTTCTCCGTTTCTAGGAAACCGGGCGGAAATGGGACAAATAGCACATAAGTGGAGCAGTCCCCAATAGGTGTCAGCTATTGTGCTCGTCTACATTGTAGACCGTTTGGACCGACCCAAGAGTGTGGATGCGTGTGTGTGTGCACGCGTAGATTGCATGTGTATGTTTACAAAGTAGCGTAGCGTGCGTCAGTGGAGATGCTGAGCCCTACGGACTCTGAGCTGATGTATTATCTGAACTGTGTGTACAGGGAGCCCAGGAAGATCGTTCTGCACAAGGGCTCGACTGGACTGGGCTTCAACATCGTAGGAGGAGAAGATGGAGAAGGCATTTTCGTTTCTTTCATACTTGCAGGAGGGCCCGCAGACCTCAGCGGAGAGCTGCGGAGAGGGGACCAGATCCTATCCGTAAGTGGACGTCCTGCAAATACATAAATTGTATACATGAGGGCAAAATGGCTAAATAATATTGCAGCGATTATAATAAGGTATATTAATATTAATGTTTGCTGTAAACAGCCATTTATTGGTTTAGCATTTATTAAGGTTAGGTAATTAATAGATGTCATATTTTGCTTTTCTATGTTAAAAACAAGGATATAAACCACCATAAACAAGCACACGTTTCCCTTAATATTCAAATTAGTAGATGATAAATCTAGGTTTTTAAATGACCTTATATCTTTAACTTACATTTAGGTCCTCTAATCATGGGCATCCATGATTAAAGATACCTAAATGTTTATTGGAGTAATTTTAATGCTTCTTAATTTTTTAATAGTTATTATGTTTTAATTTGAACAAATATCATGCATGTTTTTAGGTAGTTATTCAAATTGGTATATAAAATTCCCAGAGTTTGTGAAGAACCTATACTGAACAGGAGGTGGCGCCATCACATGTCTGTGAACCCTACCAAACCTGTACTGAAAACCCTTTTTTTTTTTTGTCTAGTAACCACTCAAAACTCCACCAGTACCAGGTTTTTTTTTTTTTCCATTATAATTTTAGTTTTTGGCACAGTGGCCTAACTTTTTTTGCAATGTGTTAATTGACAGCGCAATTACAGCTCTCATTGAAACAATCCAGATCAGTGATCCACTCGAGAAGCTCTCCGAGCTGATTTCCTGTCGCTGATCTCATCATTTATGTTTATCAGAGCTTCATCAGGACTCGCTGGTCGTAATCAGATCCCTCCATCCAGATCCCCGCCGCAATTACTTTCGGTGCCACTTGAGCCGAGAGCAATCACGGTCTGCCTCCTTAGGACACTGATTAAAAAGCGAGAAAGAACAAGTAAGAGGAGAAAAATAGAGAGGGAGGGAAGAGATAATGGAGTGCTGGCCTGATTTGGAGTCTAAGAATAGCTGTGGTGTACCTTCTGAGTTCACACTGTTAAATGAGCATTAGGACACGCTGCAGGTGTGCTGAGAGACTCACAAACACACACTTCACCTGCCCCTCCCACTGCGCTGTAGTCTCATGTTGACTTCTTCTGTTTGTATTCCTAAACCTGGTGTCACTCCAGATCCGGCCCCCCCTGCAGAAACCGGAACCCATCCTGGACCCAAAATAGATTCCATTGGCTGAAACTAATTAGAAATGATAGAAAATTGTGTCATTTAGTTTTAATCATGAAAATATGTAAATTTATTTTAATTTACATATAACATTACTTTTTAAAAAAAAAGTAACTTAGCCTTCGATTAGTATTCTGCTGTAATAACTTAGCCTGCTAGCTTAATATAATTCTAACCACTTAAGAAAAGCTCTTTTGATTGGCTAAAACAGCAAGACAGTGTTATTTAGGCATTGAGTCAATCAGGCATTGAGAAACATTTGTAGAAACATTTGACACCAAATAGAGTTGACATTTTTCAGTTTATGAGCAGCATAAGGTCTATGGTTAACATTACTTCATTACGTGAAGATATTTTCACATTTTGTTTTGAAACACAAATTGCACAGCCATAAACTACCATTCAAAAGTTTGAAATCAGTATTATTTTTTTCTATGATTTTTATAATGTTCTATTCTATTATATTCTATTTCCAGTAGGGTTTTTTTTCCATCCAACTTTATATATATCAAAAAATCCTGAAAGAAATATAATTTAAAAATATGTAATATTTTATATATTACTTTACATTGCTTTATTATTTAATGTATTTTGATCAAATAAATGCAGCCTTGGTGATCATTTAGTTCAGAGGCTTTCTTCAAAAAACATTGTAAAAATCTTTCAGAGCCCAAACTTTTTATTTGTGGTGTACCTCAAACTGCTGTGTGCTTAAAAATTTTTGTTGCTAACAAGCTGCTACATAAGGACTACAACCATTGTCAACCATGATTCATTTATTCCACAAGTTAAAGTGTCCCGTAATGGAGGGATACATAAAATAAATAGTATTTGCCTGATCATGTGATCTCAACATGTTGGCCACCATAAAACAGTTTTTAGGCCACTGATTTGACTGGAGTCTTCATGTAATTTTAATAGAGATTTTTCGCAATTACTGTTCTTTTATTTATGTGCAAAACCTTTAAATGAGGAAAAAATGAGTGCAACTTTACCAGCTGTTTGGCTGCAACACCTGCTCCAGGTTTGTGTGCCAGCAGTATACAGCAATTCCCAACCTGCTTGAACATTGACTTTCGATGGCTCAAATTGGGTCATAGAACAGATGATGCGCACAAGTCCTCAGCTGTCACATATGCTTCTCTGAGTGATAAGCTGCAATTTGTGTTTGTATAAACTAGAATAATGCAGGGCTCGGGTGTTTCTTTTAAGCTTTTAAGAAAAAACTTACTAACTTTTACTTTTTTAAGAAAACAAAATACTTATCCAAAAATCTATATTTATAAATAGTGGCTGTTATTCATTCAATTAAAATTTGATTTTTAAAAAATTAAAATATTGCAGTGTTTATTATAAATGAGTTATGATTTATTATTTTTTTTTAATTGATGTGCCTTCGGAATCTTAAAAAAAGCCAAAAAAATTATAATAAAAAAAAAATCTAGTCTATGACTTTATCAACTTCTGTTTCATGCAAACTTAAATCTTAATATTATTTTTATCAGTCATAGCATTATTATATACAATTTTAGAGTAATAATTTATTTCCATCCTAATTTCTTCCACTTTCACCATTAAATGGACCTGATTAAGATGAATAGAATCAGATCCACCTTACACTTTATCATTGTCATGACAGTCAGCATGTGTCTTGTCTTCTGTCTGCTATGTGTGCAAGACAATTGGCAATCAGCACATATGCCACCTCTGTGCCTCATTTAAATAGTCTGACAGCAGCTCACCTTTTCTGTGCTGCTTTTGCCGATTTAGTTGTTCAACTGCGTAGCCTCGTGTGACATTTCAGTTGTCCCAATTATCCTTACGCATACATTAATGGTTTTATACCTCATCCTGAAGCACAACATGGTTTGAATAGCTTGAGCAGTGTTCAGTGAAACTTTTGTGCATGAAACTAAAATAAGCCTGTTTTTGGATTCTCAAATATGGAGAATTGTTTGTGTGAATTTGTTGCTTTCTGTAGAAGTGTGCAGTTTGAATTCAGGCTAAATTCAGTTTTTTCTGGATTCTATGGGTGAACAAATGGTGCCATCTAGTGGTAAAATAGCCCATGTTCACATCCTGGCTGTATTACAATGTGCAAAGAGAATAGGAGCTGTTCTTTTTTGCTTAAAGTCTTTGCAGGTCATGCATTTTTCGTTCATAGCTGCACTAATTTATTAACAATAGGCAGCATTATGTATCTAATGGGTGCTGATAAACAGGTGAGCTCTATTTCCATAGCATCAGACTGATCATACGATCAGAATATCTGATGAACTTGTTCTGATGTATCCAATTTATAGACTAAAGGTGAATGTATTAGGCAGCATTGTATTAATAGCCACCAAAACCACACATTTAGAGAGTGTAAGTGGATATTTCCTCCAAGAGGATGTAGTCTATTGATATCCTATTGATATCCTATCTATTGAAATATGTATTTTGTTGCAGAGTTTTAGGCAGGATGTAAGTTGTTATACATTGTCAAAGATGTGGCCTTTTATAATTTTGCTGTACGTAAAAACATCTCCAACAAATCATGGATGAATGGATGGATAGCAAGGTCTAGCAATTTCTAAGTAAATTAAGTAAATCCTACACCAAATATTTTTCAGTACGTATGCCATAGTTGTCCTGAAAAAAACCCCTGAAAAATCCTTATCATTGATCTTACTGATGAGTGGTAGCCAGAGGCCTTGCCAGTCTGACTCATGAATATTAATTAGGTTGTTTATCATTGGCCAAGCAGTCGTAACTGATTTGCTGAAAAACAGGATTACTGACACAATCAGGATTACCATTTACTGATTACATTGGTTGGTTTGATCAACTGCTGATGCAACCGGTTGGCAGAGCCTTCTGTTTGGTTCTAGTGCCATTGTTTTGTGTGTTCTGCTACAGTTTTATTCTTCGCGTTGTAGCCAATCCCCCCCAAAAAAGCTCTTAAAATATAATGATTATGCCCACAAAGTGTTTTCACATTTCATGGGATGCAGCTTGGCTTAGTTTCTGTTTATGGCCTGAAGAGCATCATCACTCCGAGGCGAGCCAAACAGACGCACTGGGAGAGAGATGAAGTGATGGAGAGAGAGAGGAAGGGCCTGCCTCCTCCTCACAACTAGGTCAGAGAGAAGACAGCACTAACGGATTAGCCTTCTGTTCTAAAATAGCTCCATCTCGGGTCTCGTCTCTTTGCATTATCATCTGTAAACTCAGGAGATTGTGTATCACCACATTTCAAGTGTATCTGACAGAAGTGTCACAGCTCAAGATATCTCTTGGTTTGATTGGTCACACTTGACAGGATGATGCCCCGACTGTCAAGATCCTATGACTAACTGAAAGGGCCCAACCTAAGTGGATCAGACTTTTTGGGATCATTTTAACACAATCTGTAATGCATTTCAACACAGCTTCTGATTCACAATCTGATTTAAACTCATAAAGTAATATTTTTGGCATTTGTTTGGCATTATAATTCATTTTACAGTCATGTTATACTGACATTTAAAACTCTTAATTTTGTTTATTTTAAATTATACTGTATATACACAGCATGAAGTGACTGTGTGTGTGTGTGTATGAGAGAGAGAGAGAGAGAGTGTGTGTGTGTGTGTGTGTGTGTGAGGCTGTGCGTCTTCTCCGTTTCTAGGAAACCGGGCGGAAATGGGACAAATAGCACATAAGTGGAGCAGTCCCCAATAGGTGTCAGCTATTGTGCTCGTCTACATTGTAGACCGTTTGGACCGACCCAAGAGTGTGGATGCGTGTGTGTGTGCACGCGTAGATTGCATGTGTATGTTTACAAAGTAGCGTAGCGTGCGTCAGTGGAGATGCTGAGCCCTACGGACTCTGAGCTGATGTATTATCTGAACTGTGTGTACAGGGAGCCCAGGAAGATCGTTCTGCACAAGGGCTCGACTGGACTGGGCTTCAACATCGTAGGAGGAGAAGATGGGGAGGGCTTTTTCGTTTTTTTCTTACTTCCGGGGGGGCCGCCAGACCCCG